ATCAGCATCATCATCATCGGCATCATCGTCAGCATCCGCACCATCATCATATGGATCATGTCATCATCATCGTCATCATCGTCAGCATCAGCATGCGCATTGTCATCGTCATCGCCATCGTCATCATCACGTTCATCATCATCAGCCTTAGCATCATCACCATCCTTGTCCTCCTGCTCCTTCTGCAAATCATCATTGTCATCATCACTACCATCATCATCAGCATCATCATCATCATAATCACCATCAGCATCCTCATCAGCATGATCACCATCAGCATCAGCATTCCCATCATATTCATCATTTCATCATCAAACACATCATCAATAGGTTCACTATCATCACAGACATTATCATCAGCATCATTAACATCAGCATCATCATCCTCGCCGTTCTCATCATCAGCATCAGCATCATCCTCGCCATCATCATCACACGCGTCATCATCAGCATCACCAGCATTACCATAATCAGCAACATCAGAATCATAGTCGGCATCAGCATCATCATCATCATCACCATCATCATCATCATCATCCGTATCATCATCGTCATCATCAGGGTCATCATCATCATCACCATCATCAGCAGCATCGTCATCTGCACCATCACCAACAGCATCATCAGCATCATCACAACATTCGTTTGGGGACTGCTTGGGACCCCTGCGGCCGCAGCTCACGCCTCTTTCAGCTCAGTCCGCAACCGGTGCAACTCATGTCGTGAAGTGAGACGTCGTGCTGGTGAGGAATCCCAGCATCAGCAGCATCGTCATCAGCGGAATCCTCAAAATCATCGGCACCAGCATCATCATCAGCATCAGCATCGTACGCTTCATCGACCTCAGCAGCAGCAGCAGCAGCAGCATCAGCATCATCAGCATAATCAACATCGTCAGCATGATCATCATCAACACCAGCATCATCATCATAATCATATGCACCATCATCATCACCATCATCAGCATCATCATCGGAATCATCAACATCATGATCATCATCATCATCATCATCATCATCATCATCAGCAACATCAGCATCATCGTCAGCATCAGCATCAGCATGATCATCCTCATCAGAATCATCATTATCCTAATCAGCATCCTCTTCTTTTTCCTCCTATTCCTCCTCCTCCATCGCCTCCAACGCCACATCATCCTGCTCCTCCTAGACCCAGCCTGAGCGCAAACGAGTTCGTCCGTGCCGCATGCCTTACGCCACCGCATGGCCGCAGCCAGAGGCGGGTGGCGCCTCCCGAAGAGCGCACAGTGCCCTGAGAAAAGCATCAAACATGTTGCACCACTCCAGCTCTAATGACCGAGGCGGTACGCAGAGGCTCAACAAGGTACCGCCAGACGCGGTTGACCTGGAAGCAAGCTGGCGCTCGAGTGAGGCCAGCGAGGACTCGGACACCCAAAGGGCCAGCGGCGGGAGGGCCTCGGCAGCCTCGCGACAGGTTCGCAGGGATCTCCACCCCTCCCAGCCCACACACCACGCACACAGTACACTGCAGCCTCTGCCCCTCGTCCCCGACGTGCAGCGAAAGGGTGCATGACGTGCGCTCGTTCGTCAGCAAGCTACACACGCCGTTACACACGCACGGAGGCCAGGTCGGCTCGCGACAGACTTCGCGGCGCAAAAGGCAACGGCGGTTCCACAGCCACGGCAGGCACAGGGCGACTCGCACTCTTGCTGCGACGAGAGTTGCGCAGCTTGCTAGAGACATGCTCACAATCAAGATCGCACATGCGCGGGCCGATGCGGGCTACCCAGTGGCCCCCCACTCCTCTTCCTCCGCCTCCTCCTCCTCCTCCTCCTCCACATCATCATCATCATCATCATCATCATCATCATCATCATCATCAGCATCATCATCATCATCATCAGCAGCAGCAGCATCAGCAGCATCAGCAGCATCATCATCATTGTCATCATCATCATCAACAACAGCCACAACAACCACAACAACAACATCATCATCAGCATCATCATCGTCAGTTTCATCATCCTCATCATCATCAGCAACAGCATCATCATCATCATCATCATCATCATCATCATCATCATCATCATCATCATGTTCATCATCATCATCATCATCATCATCAAAATCAGCATCAGCAGCAGCATCATCAGCATCATCATCAGCATCAGCATCATCATCCTCATCAGCATCAGCACCAGCATCATAATCATCATCATCATCATCATCATCATCATCATCATCATCATCATCCCCGGCATCATCGACATCATCAGCATCGGCATCATATTCAGCAGCAGCATCATCTGCATCAGCAGAATCAGCATCGTCTAAATCAGCATCAGCATCAGCATCCTGAGCATCACCACAATCAGAATCATCATTGTCATCAGCATCAGCATCAGCATAAGAATCCGAATCCTCATCGTCAACCTCATCATCATCACCATCATCGTCAGCATCATCATCCTCATCAGCATCATCAACCTCCTCTTCCTCCTCTCGCTCCTCCTGCACTTACTATCCCTCCTCCTCAAACGACTCATTCTCCTACTCATCCTGCTCATCCTCCTCCTCCTCATCCACCACCTCCTCCTCATCCCTCCTCCACATCATCATCCGCATCAGCATCAGCATCATCATCAGCATTATCAGCATCATCATCAGCATCAATATCATCTTCATCAGCATCAGCACCATCAAAATCCGCAGCAGCAGCAGCAACATCAGCATCATCGTCAGCATCATGATCAGCATCATCGCCAGCATCATCATCATCATCATCATCATCATCATCATCATCATCATCATCATCATCATCATAATCAGCATCAGCATCACCATCGTCGACATCGGCATCAGCGCGAACAGCAGCATCACCATCGTCATCGTCATCAGCGGTATCAGCATCAGCATCATCATGGGCAGCATCATTAGCATCGGCATCAGCATCGTCATCATCAGCATCGCCAGTATGATCATCGTCATCTGTTTCATCATCATCATCATCATCATCATCATCAGTACCTTCGTCATCATCATCATCATCATCATCATCATCATCATCATCAACATCAATATCAGCATCATCATCAGCATCCGCAACATCATCCGCATCATCAGCCTCATCATCAGCATCAGCATCAGCATCATCATCCTC